GGCCCTCTACTTCTTGAGCCACACCCCCAGCCTCTCAGGCTTGTTTGTAATAGGATGTTGACTTTTTATCCAAATAAGGAAGATATGGAGGCATGAAGAATTGTAAATAGATAATTTAAAACAGGTAAAATAGCTAATTAAGTTTTAAAACTAGGTAATTTAAACTTAGAAATTGTACCTTTTTGATGAGCACAGTGTCTTATGCTGTAATCCTAGCTGCTCAGACTGAGATCATGGTTTGAGACCAGCCCAGGCAAAAAAGTCAGGAGACCCCATTTCAAGCAACTGGGCATGGTGATGAGTGCCTGTCATTCCAGCTATGCATGAAGCGTAAAAAGGAATATCGAGGTCCAGGCATAAATGTGAGACCCTATTCGAATAATAATTAAAGCAAAAAGGGCTGAGGATGTGACTCAAGTAGAAGCAAGGCCCAATAAGAAAGAAAGAATGCTTTTTTGCATCTCATCCCAAAGTTAATTTTAAACCAAATAATTAAGCCAACCGAAATTCAAGACCTCTCTTACTTTCTGCTCCTGTTTTTTTTACACCATGGAATAAAGGACACTGGTCATACTTGGGAAAAGTACAGTTTATCAAAATGTTTTTCTCTGTATACTGGCTGTCCAACTCTTGCCTTTCCCTTTTGTGACCCACCTGCTTTTTAGGACTGGATATAGTTAATTACGTATTTTGAGTTCGGAGGGCTTTTTCTTCTAGAAAATATGAGAAGAGACTGAGTAACTAGAACTTAACGGTCAAGAAGTATTTCTTTAGTGTTGAGTTTGCCTCTGTCCTACAGAATGCAGAATCCGTTTCTAAATATGAGATCGTAGAGGCAGAATTGGTGTTAGAGCGCTCTGCAGGAAATGCTGTGCTATGACAGCAGTCATTTGCGGTAAGCAAATATAGAGCAGTGGTGTGCTTTAAAATAAAGGCCATAATTTGATAGGCACTGATTCTATGTTTAGATTTCAATTTTTTTACCTCCCAATTGAGTCATTAAATTTTTATGACTCTGGATATTTGGACATTTAAGTCTGGAATGTGCCTTTCTAAATTGTGTTCATGCTGGGAGACTTTTGAAGTAAGGAAAAAGCAGTTTATTATTTTTTTTAATTGTCTTAGTAGGATGAGTCTTCTGGATCTGCATGCACTATTTCATCTCTGCACTAAGAGGAAAGAAGTGGACAGGAAAGACATGCATCCAGCACACAGTCTAATTACATAGTGAAATTGGTTTCTTTGGAACCAGTGGGGATGAGTCATTCTGGAAAAGAATTTCTGGAGCTTTTATCTCTTTATGCTCCTTAAGGTTTTTTACTTTTAAACCTATCAGATTTTCTTTTAAAAACAAGTCTGTTGGTAACCGTGCATATTTTGTTGCTTTTCATTTTTTTATTGTGTGCAATTAAATAAATTTAATGTTTATGGAATTGTACAGTTATCACCACAATCCAATATTTAATATTCTGCTTTTGCTTTTGATAACTATTGAGGATAATGTGTTATATAGTGATTGTCTAGGGCTGGAAGGAAATAGGGAATACTGCTAAGGGGCCCTAGTTTCTTTTTGAAGCAATGAAAATATGCTACAGTTGATTTGGCCACAATCAACTTGTATATTTTAAATGGGTAAATTGTAGCAAATCCCTTAACTTACTTACTTTTTAAAACTTACCATATAATGCTTGTATAAAATAATGGACTTTATTGTGACATTCCTTAACTTCTTTTTTAAAATAATGTTAACTGCATTAACTTTTATTACATTAATATAGTTTGTGGTTTTTTTCAGAATCTTTTTGCTAACATTTTTGCAATAGGTGATACAGTCCAGGTGGGTGAATTATTACCAAAAATTGATTTGATTAATTAATTTGATTTTGGTGATGTTTCTTTTGTTTTACCAATAAAATATTTGCATTTGACCACTTTTGAGGGAAAAGTAGACCTGCCTTATCTATAGCTTTTTCTTAAAGACAGGAATAAATGGAAAATCTTCATAGTTTGTCTCTCAAACTAATGATTATTTTTTGACTTGTGAGTGTGATCACGCCCATTTCATGTGTATCATTTAAGATTAGTGGATACATTTGATGGTTTCCAGGTATTTATTGCATGATTACCTGCTGAGTGCTATGCTAATATTTTTGAAGAATGTTTAAAGGAATGTTACAGGTCAAACTCTGCTGTCAAATAGCAAGGTATATGTAAGATTCATTACTGCAGAGTCGAGCGCTAATGGTATACTACTGAACATGAGTGCAGACTGAAAACAAAAGAGGTCATTATGGACTGCAGTAGTTGAAAGGAGGCCTCATGGACTTACTGGGGACTTAACTAGATGAGGAGAATTTGCAAAAGCAAAGCGAGCACCTTAAGACATTTCCAATAAGAATAATAGAAGCATGTGATTAGAAAAATTGCATTTCAAATCTACTTGAATTTACAGTTAGAGGAAAAGAAAGTATAAAAGAATAGACCTTATAAAAAGTTCAGTTCCTGCTGCTCAATTTTAGAAGATTTCTAAACAAACTTGGGTCCAGGCTGAACCTTTATAAACGTTGGGGTGTTAGGTTACATTTATTTTCTAAAAATAATCTACTTAAAACATGTTTTTCAGCCGCCTGTCTTGGTTAGATGGTTCTGGATTAGGATTCTCACTGGAATACCCCACCATTAGCTTGCATGCAGTCTCCAGGGACCTAAATGCCTATCCACGAGAGCATTTGTATGTTATGGTGAATGCCAAATTTGGAGGTATGTATGGTATAATTTAATCTAGTGCTTCCTTTAATAGAATATTTTTAGAAAGTAATCTTGTTTTTGAGATGGGGTCTCTCATTGTTGTCAGGTTGGCCCTGAACTCCTGGGCTCCAGTGACCTCCTGCCTCAGTCTGCCAGATAGCTGGGATTCTAAGCATGTGCCACCATGCCCATCTAAAAAGCAATCTTTGACCCACTTTAGATAAATAGCTTATTAAGAAAAATTAAGGAAATACAATAAAATAATTGGGACACTTGAAGTTCTTACAATGGACTTTTGTTTTGTGTGACTTTTGTCTTTTATATATTTGCACTTACAATTCTATTGTGGATATGTATTTCTGTTTTTGCTCTTAACTATTCTTTTTCTCAAGTGGGGGGAGAGTTTTTGTGCACCTCTCCTCAACCCTCTTATCACCCCCACCCCCATATGGCAGTGACATTTTAATTGGAGGGGGGAGGGGTACTATTGACATCTAGCAGTTAAATGCCAAGGATGCTACTAAACGTTCTACAGTATACAGGGCAACCCCCAACAAAGAATTATCCAATCCAGATGTTAATGATGCCAAGGTTAAGAGGCCCTGGGTTACAGATTCCAAAGTTGTGTATTGGACACAATTGTAAAGAATCATAAAAATCTAGTGAAGATGTTTGCTTTTAAAATAATGGAATGCTTTTCTTTGAACTACTGTATAACAGATAATCCCGTGACTTTGCCTCTGAAGCTATTGCTCCTTCAAGTTAAGTTTTCATAAGATTCCAGATATAATACCATTTATATTTATATCCTGACACTAAATATTAATTTTTAGAACTTTGGCAAGTCCTGCCTCATTACATGATAATGGCTGATTTAGCTATCTGGAAATATTTTTGTTACAAAAGTTCAAATTCTTGCCATTGGGGAAGGTTTAGATATAGATAAAATTTAGTGATGTTTGAAAAAGAGAATAAGGAAAAGTAAAAAGCTGTTTAGAATGCAGGGGTGTAGTAAGAGTTCCTGATGGGTTATTAGGCACAAAGTTCACTCACCTTCTAAGTAAATATAGCTGTAATTTTGTAACTGTGGTAGTCATCTTTCCATTACTGTGACAAAATACCTGAGATAATAAAGGAAAGGTTTATTTTTGCTTTGGTTTCAGAAGTTTCAGTCTGTAATCACTTGCCCGTTTCTTTGGGCCTGTGGTGGCACAGTACATCATGGCAGGAGCACATGGCAGTGGAGGCCTGTTCACCTCATGGCAGCCAGGAAGCAAAGAAAGAGGCAGGGTGGGGGTCCCAATATTCCCTTTAAGGTCATGTCCCCAGTGACCTAACTTCTTTCCATAAGGCTTCACCCACAAAAGGTTCCACCATCTCCCAACAGCACCACTGATTGGTGACTAAGCCTTTAACATGTGGGTCTGTGAATGACATTCAAATCCAGACTATACCAATAATTAAGAGAATTATGTGTCCTGTGAAGCTTAAAGTATTCATTTGCATTCCTGGAAATGTAAAAACCTTAAAGATACTATCATCAGTCAATTCCAAATGCTGATATTTCAGGGGTGGAGTGTAGGTTTACCATGCATGAGGCCCTCAGTTCAATTCCCAGCACCAAAAACCAGAACTAATACTGTTGTGAAATGCCCCAAAATAGTGTCCAGGTTTGGAATTGGGCAAAGGTGCCTGCAAGAAAAGAGAGGTTGGGTTTCAGTAAATACTAGATAAAAGGATAAAGGATACTGAATAAGGAAACTCTAGTTAACCTGCTAGGTAAGTTATTTTCTCTTGAGTCTCAATTTTGCTTAAAAAATTAGAAGGTTATATTAGTCTCTGGTGCATATTAGAAGCACCTGGGTAGCTTGTTAAAAATACAAATGTAGCCACATATGATGGTTCATACCTGTAATCCCAGCTACTGAAGAGGCAGAGGTAGGAAGATCATAATTCCAAGCCAGCCTGGGCAAAGGTAACCCCTGAGACCCTATCTGAAAAACAAACTGAAAACAAAAGAAGTGAGGCTCCAAGTTCAGTCCTCAGTACAGGGGATAAAAATGCAAATGTTTGACGTCCCAAATAGGAGTGGGACAATTCAATAGGGTTTGGGTAGTTATTTTAAACTTATAATAAATAAATAAATAAACTTAAACTCCATGTGGTTGTTTGAAATTGATATGATTATGATTAATCCTTTCTCGTAAAAATATGTAGAACTTTCCATCTTACTAGAAAGTAGTTCCTCCTGGCACACATTTGTTTCCGCTCTCTGGTTCTGTTTATCTGTACCTACTCTCATAAATTACCTGTGCTTGGATTATACTCACACACCCTTTGCAAATTCTGATTCTTTGAGCTTCAGATTTGTTTTTTTTCTTTCTCTGACTTACCTTCATTAGTCTCCTTAAAAATGACTATCATCGTTGTTGGATTAAATTATTTTTTGTTGAAAATGTAGAAAGGTTTAAAGAGAGCCTACCATAACAACCTAGTATGAGATGGTATTAGTGATAATTGTATTTTTTTCCTTATTGTAAAATCACTGTGTTACCTTTCTCCCTCTCTCTCTCTCTCTCTTTCTCTCTCTCTCTCTCTCTCTCCTCCTTCTTGCTCTCTCTCCCTCCTTCCTTTTTTTATTTTCTGTTATATCACACTTTTTTGGGTGTTTTTTTGTTGTGTATTACTTACTGTTTTGGTGGTGTGGTGGGGATTGAATCCAGAGCCTCACACATAGGAGGCAAGCATTCTACCACTGGTCCTACATTTCTGTTTATTGTCTTAAGGTAGATTCCTAAGAATATAAAAGAGTTAAAAAGTTATATTCATTCATATAGAATAGTAATTGTATTGTACTATCATTTTGCTTATTAAAATGTATTAAAAAGGTTTCATAGAGACAGGCGCCAGTGGCTTATGCCTGTAATCCTATCTATTTAGGAGGCAGAGATCAGGAGGATCTCTGGTTCAAAGCCAGCCCAGGCAAATAGTTCTTGAGACCCTATCTCAAAAATACCTAATACAAAAAAAAGGGCTGGTGGAGTGGCTCAATGTGTAGGCCCTGAGTTCAAGACCCAGTACCACAAAAAAAAAGGTTTCATAGTAGTGAGTAATTTATCCAACTATTTAGAGTTATTTAAAATTCTCTGGTATTTTTATATATTTTTTTGTTTACAGAAGACATGTATATTACCTTTAACAATATAATAACATTAAAAGGAAGACAGAAAATGTCCTACTAAATCTTATTTAAAACTGCTGTCAGTGGCCGTTTTTGGAGTTTTTCTTCCTCTTTTTCTGTTTCTCTGTACTTTCATACCATTCTGCATAACATAAAAATAAGATGAGCTGAGCACACCAACTCACACCTGTAATCCTCGCTACTTGGGAGGCTGTGATCAGGAGGATTATGGTTCAATGCCAGCACAAGCAAAAATGATTTGCAGGACCCCATGTCAGTGGAAAAAAGCTGGGTGTGGTGGCATGAACCTATCACCCAGCAATGGTGAGAAGCATAAAATAGTAGGATCATGGTCCAAGCTGATCTGGGCAAAAAGCAAAACCCTATCTCCAAAAAACCAGGGAAAAAAGGGCTGGAGGCATGACTCAAGCCATAGGGCACCTGCCTAGCAAGTGGAAAGCCCCAAGTTCAAATGCCAGTAGTGTCAATAAATATGTAAATAATTTTAAAATAAGTAATGCAAAAAGGACTGGTAGAGTGGCTCAAGTGATACAGGATCTGCTTAGGAAACATGAGGCAAACCCTGTGTCCAATTCTTGATTGTCAAGTTGATTGGAAGAGAAAATATGCTTGTGGATATGTATGAGAGTGCCTTCAGAGAGGATTAAATAAGGAGAGAAGAAGCTTTGAATGTGGACAGCACCATCCAGTAGGCTGCAGGTCTAGATGGAACAAAAGGGTAGGAGGAAGCCCACTAGTGCGGCATTCCATCTGCTTCCTAGCCACCATGAGGTGAGCAGTTTGCTCCTTATACCTCTCCACCAGGATGAACTGAAACCTGTGAAACCATGAGGCGATATAAATCCTTTCCTTAGATTTATTTGCTCACTTAAGGTATTTTGTCATAGCAATGAAAAACTGACTTGCGCAATCCCTCCGAGGTCCATGGCTGGCCCCAAGTACTAGGCCATATCTAAAAAATAACTAAAGCAAAAAGAGCTCAAGTGGTAGAGCTCCTGCCTAGCTATCTTGAAGCCCTGTGTTCAAACCCTAGTACCATCAAAAAAAAAAATTTACTAATTTTGAGTATGTTTTAATGTTTTGGTGTCTATTTAATATTTTACTGACGTGTAATTTTTTTCCTTATGAAATAATTCAAATATTGAAAAATACAGAGTAATAAAACATTTTTTATAGTACTAGGGATTGAACTCAGGGCCTCATATAATAAAAAAGATTCTATGATTCAATATCTAGCATAAATTTCTTAACATTTTTTCATAATTACTATAAACTTTTAAGGTAAACCACTTTAGTACTGTCGTAGCCTGTTTTGTGTGGCTCCCCATGTCATTCCCTATTCTTCTCTCTGAATTGAATTTCATATCCTGAAGGTGATGTGTGTCCTTCCTTTCTGTGCTTTTAACTTTTACTGAATGGTTTTGTTTTTGCTTAAAATTTTCATCTAAGTGATATCTTGTGTTTTCCAACTAGCTTTTTCATTCAGTTACATTTTAACTGTCATTATCTATTCATCTGTAAAATATTACATGACCAGGTTATAATACATTCAGTTTCCTTCTTATGAACAGTTCATTTTCATATACATAACATATACATACTTTTTTTTTTTTGGCGTCCTGGGGTTTGAACTTAGGGCCTTGCACTTGCTAGGTAGGTGTTCTACCACTTGAGCCACACTCTCAGCAAACAGTTCATTTGCTGAGATGTCATCACTAGTACATACTTAGAAGTGTATGTACTTCTAAGTGGACTAAGTGGAACTGCTTAGTCTCCAAGGTGGTTATAGAAGTTTCTGCTTCCACCAACATATACTAGTTCTCCTTCCTCCCTGTCTCTCAGTCCTTTTTTCTCTCCTTTTCCCCCTCCGCCTTGTTCCCCCCTTTTATCCCCCACTCCGTGTATACAAAGCAAGTGCTCTACCTTTGAGCTCTGTCCTCAGCCCTAGTTCTCAGTAAACTTATTTTTTCTTATTTTTTTACATGTTAGTTTATCTGTTGGGTCAGTTAACTTTCATGGACTTTAGTTTTCTTATCTATAAACTGTTGATTGATTCATCATTCCCATCAGGGTTACAAGGTCTTACTGAACCCTTTGCTTCAAGGTGAAAGATAAGAAACAGGTAACAATGGAGCAGTACTTAATGTCTTGACTGTTCTCTCACACCCCCTGTGCCTCCACAAGGGCCTTGAATACTTAGGGCTCATTGAAGGATACTGTGATTAGAACAGAGAGCTTTTATTTTTATTTTTTTCCCAAGTGCTGGGATTACAGGCATATACTATCACCTGGCTATAGTTCATATTTTAATTTTAAGAAAGTCAAAGAGTACATGCAAAAGTTATTTTTATTCTCTTTTTAGAGGAATCAAGAGAATCTCTTTCTGATGAAGAAGATGAAGACAGTGATGATGATGTGGAACCTATTGCTGAATTTAGATTTGTGCCTAGTGATAAATCAGCATGTGAGTGTTCTACACTACTAATCTTTTCCCTTTATGTACCAAGCATTCCCCCCATTGACACACACACATCTCTCACCTTTATCCCTGTTACCTCCACTCTGTTGCTTTTGGGGGTTTTGTTTTGTTTTGTTTTGAGACAGGGTCTTCTCCATAGCCCAGGCTAGCCTGGAACTCCATCCTTCCTGTCTCAGCCTCCCAAGTGCTGTTATTACAAACATGCATCCCCATACCTGCTTGTCTATTGCTTTTTCATTTTAGCATCTAAAGTGAGAGTACTATAGGTGTTATTTGGTAATGTTTTGTAAATGGAGGAGGGACTCTGGTTAGTCTTACTGATTGATGCTGTTGACTGTCAATCTTACCTGTTAGAAGGGAAAGGAGTCAGAACACTTCCAAAGTGGAGAATGACCAGGCTCACTAGAAAGTGCCCTGTCAGCTGAGAGGGGCTTAGCCTCAACAGTCTGACTGTAGACTCTGACTTTCTCTCACAAAATCCAACAGTTATGAAGAGATTTCAGTAATATCTTGATCTCTTATTTTGTGATTGTCCATTGCCTTGGGTACTTTCAGGATAGACCCTTCTTGGAATTTGGCTGTCAGATTTTGTAAATACCTCTTGTCTACCCATTAAATTTATTTGTACTGATGGTTTCTTTCATTATAAAACTTTATTGCACACTGAAGAAAATACTAGTTACTACTTAATGTCCTTGTTCAGTAGAGGCAATGTTCAGTGCAATGTGTGAGTGCCAGGCCTTGCATCCGGATCCTGAGGATGAAGACTCGGACGATTACGATGGAGAAGAGTATGACGTGGAAGCACACGGTTAGTGGAATCGGGTGAAGTATTTGTTTTAGTGCTGTGCTTTAAGCAGTTATTTGGACTAGGGGCAGGGGATTATAGTTCTTTGTATCTCCAAAAAGCACACTGTATAAGATGGTTATAAATAAAAGTGAATGATACAGGGGCACATTTTGTGTCTAGGCCCTTTCAACAGACAAATTGGAAAGATTTGTGGGCTTTTAGACTGAGATAGCTGCCCCCAGAGAACAAGCCTTCTCTCTCTGCTGCTTGAGAAGTTGGATCATCTCCATTTTTATTTAACATATTTCTTGAACCAATTCATTGCTAACGTCATTTCTTTTTTCCCAGAAACCTAATTCATTTCTCTAAGAATATGTCCTATTGCCTTCCTATACCCAGATGGATTCACTAGCCTGCTAGAGTCCTGTAGCTTAAGGCATGTGCTTTTACCCCAGTAGTCTTAGACACACAAATTAGGTATCCAAAGTTCTTTCCTCCCTATCTACCAATTCCTGGCCTGAGATATACTCATTTCTGGAATTCTCTTTCACATACCTAAATGTGTCCTCATCTTTCCGAGACTTTTCTCTTTTTTTGGCAGAACTGGGGTTTGAACTTAGGCCTCATGCTTGCTGGGCAGGCACTCTACCACTTGAGCCATTCCACCAGTCCTTTTTTGTGTTGAGTATTTTCTTTTTTTTTTATTCATATTGTGTTGACTATTTTCAACATAGTCTCTCTTGTACTATTTGCCTGGGCTGGCCTCAAACCTTGATCCTCTTGATTGCTGCCTCCTGAGTAGCTGGGATTATAGGTGTGATCCACCAGTGTCCGGCCTTTTTGTATTTTACTTTTTTTTTTTTTTTTGACTGGGGTTTGAACTCAGGGTCTCATGCCTGCGAGGCAGCATTCTACCACTTGAGCCAGCCGCTTTTTGTGTTGGCTGGTTTTGAGATAGGGTTTCACTTTTTGCCCAGGGTGGCCTCAAATCACCATTTTCCTGGTCTCTGCCTCTGGAATGGCAAGGATTATAGGCACGAGCCACTGGTGCCTGGCTGAATTTCTGATTTTTTTAAAAAGGAGCATATATATTAAAACAAACAAACAAACAAAAAAACTTCAATGTCAAGTTAATTTTCATTCACTTGTAAAATTCCTTGAGATAATAAAGGACTTCCTGATTTTAGAAGCGTCCTCTGCCTTTTAGTTCCTGAGCATGTCATTCTCAGGGAATTGCTGTTTACTGGCTTGCTCTGTTGGAATTCCTTTTCATCCTGGAGGTTAGGGGCATTTTCTTTGTGTCTCTTCAACAGTGACCTTGTCAGTGAGTGCTGGAAGTATTTTCCTGGAAGCCTCTTTTCACCATACTTTATATTTAGCAGATGCAATATAGATTACCCATTTTGTTTTTTCTAATTGTTGTGTAATAGCTTAAAAGCTTTTTGTTTGTTTAGAACAGGGACAGGGGGATATCCCTACATTTTATACCTATGAAGAAGGATTGTCCCATTTAACAGCAGAAGGGCAAGCAACACTGGAGAGATTAGAAGGAATGCTTTCTCAGTCTGTGAGCAGTCAGTATAACATGGCTGGAGTACGGACAGAAGATTCAATAAGAGATTATGAAGGTGAGTGTCCTTTCTCTGCAATGTGAACAGATGGCCACCTGGCAGAGGGAAGTTATGGAGAAACGTAGGGTCTGTAGGAAACTGTAAGACAAAGAAATCTCACAATTAACTCTTTCAGAGTAGGAAGCAGATGTAGAATCAAAGGATGGGCATTCTTATTTGTCTTTTGTTGCTGTTTTTAGTGACATCCCCCTCCCCCAGATTACACTAACTATCAAAGTAGTCTGTGGTTAAATTTTCTTTGTTTTTGGTGTCTGTTTGTTTGTTTTTTGCAATATTGGAGATTGAACCCAGGGTCTCACACACTAGGCAAGCCTACCACTGAGCCACATCCCTTGCCTCAAATATTTTTAAATGATCACAAGCAAGGAAGAAATAAAAAGGGGGGGAAGGGAGCTGGTAGAGTGGTCCAAGTGGTAGAGCACCTGCCTAGCAAGTGTGAGGCCCTGAGTTCAAACCCCAGTACTGCCAAAAAAAATAAAAAATAAAAAAAGGTGTAATTCTCACTGAGACATTTTTGTTGCAAATCTGTATTAGTTTGGACAGTCATAATAAAGTACTATAAACTAGCTTAAACAACTAAAATTTGTTGTGTCATAGCTTTGGAGGCTAAAAACCAGGGATGCTTCTCTGAGAGTTAAGGGAAAGATCTGTTCAAGCTTCTTTCCTTGACTTACAGATAGCTGTCTTCTCTTGTGTCTTCACATCATCTTGCCCTCTGTCGTGTCTGTGTCTAGATTTCTCCCTTTAATTAGTCACAGTTCTCTAGAGAAATAAAACCAATAGTGTGTGTGCAGAGCAGGGGAACATCACTACATTTTACACCTGGCTGCTATCAAATTGGATAGTCCTTCATAGGTATAAAATGTAGAGATGACCTTCTGTGTGTGTGTATACACATATACATAGGTGTGCATATACACACAAACACAGAGATTGATTGGTTGATTGTTTTACAGAATGGTTCGTGTGATTGTGAATGCTAGCAAATCCAAAATTTGCAGGATAAGTTGGCAGGCTAGAAGCCCACAAAAGAGTTGATTGATGCTGCAATTCTAGTCCAAAGGTGATCTGTGGGCAGAATTTCTTTCTTTTTTTTTTTGATGTGTGGTCTCACTGTAATTCAGACTGGCCTCAAACTAGCTTTCCTCCTGCATCCACTTCCCAAGTCCTGGCTTTATAAGTATATGCCACCATACCCAGCTTCAGAATTTCTTCTTATGTGGGGAAGTTTAGTCATTTAATGGGTTGAATAAGACCCACCACATCATGAAGGTAACTGCTTCACTCAAAGTCCACCAATTTAAATTTTAATCTCATCTAAAAAAAATACCTTCATAGAAACATGTAGAATGATGTTTGATAAACAGTTGGGCACTGTGACCTAGCCAGGTTGATAGATAAAATTAACTATTTTACCCTTATAAAGACACAAGTCACACTGGGTTAGGGCTCACCCTGATGACCTCTCTTTAACTTGGTTTCTTCTGTATAAGGACCCTCTCTCCATACAATATATATAAAATGTCAGAACAATTTTTTTTTAGTCTGAAATAGGTTTCAGTAGCCCAGGCTGGCCTTGAAAACCTCTGTGCTCAAGCAATCCTGTCTCAGCCTCCCAAGTAGCTGGGATCACAGGTATGTGCCTGTGCACAGCTCAGAATATGCTTTTTACAGTGTAGGAAGCAAATGTAAAGTTACATAGAATGGTTTTTGTTGTTGTTTTTAGTGGCACTGGCGTTTGAACTCAGGGCCTCTTGCTTGCTAAGCAGACACTCTACCATTTGCGCACCTCTGTCAGCCCAAGAATCGGGATTCTTATGTAATTTTTTATGTCTTTTATTTTTCCTCCTTTTATGGTTTTACATTTATTTTCTAACTATTGAAGTTGTGTTTATAATAGAAAATGTGTGCTGGAAAAGAAATAGGGAAAAAAATCAATAATAATTCTGAGACATACATATTAATTTTCTGTTGCATATCCTTCTAGTCTTTCTGTTTGTTTGCTTTTACATGTATACACATTTCAACACCATTTTTATTTTAGGCATTTTGATTAATATGCAAAACTAGGATAGCCATGTATTTAATTGGTTAGACAGCATCCAAGAAACTTTTGAGTTCAGCCAGGTGCAGTGGTGTATGCTACTTGGGAGGCTGATGCTTGGGAACCTATGGAACCCTCGGGTCTGGGCCCTTCACGCAGCAGAGATAGTGAACCCTCACAGAGTGAGTGATATCTATGCCAGTATCTGAAAAGTGAAGAGAAGTGACCAGGGATTACACACAGATTTTGGGGAGAGGAGGTAAAGAGATTAGCCATGTGTAAAGGTTCAAGAGACCACTCACCTTTGGACGACTATAGTTCGTCATGTCTGAAACTTGTAAGCATGGAGGGTAGTTGTAATAACAGAAAAACGGAGTCGTAAACTGGGCTGCATCCTAGAGGAACTTGAAAGTCTCATTAAAGAATTCAGACATTACTTTTAGATCAGTGGGAAGCCATTGAAGAATTTGATTAGTGTTTGGGATGATGACCCTGGGTATAGTGAGGAAGATGGATTGGAGAGGGAAAACACTGGAGGAAAGAAGAGAAGCTCTGGCATGTGGCTTACATGTTAATTTAGATTAGAGACGGAGGTCCAAATTAAGTAGAAGGTGTGAATACAAAAGACTTGACTGATTTAAGAGATTTAGGAGCTAGAAGTAGAAGTTAGGCATGGCAGGAGCTTCTGGCTTTGGTAGATAAGGAGTCACTCATTATCAAAACTAGAAAGAGGATTTTTTTTTTTTATGTGGAAAAATGACGAGTTAGTCTGAAATATGTTACATTTGCGTTTGAGAGTGGTGGGAGGCCAAGGGCCTCTTGGCAGAAGTTTGTGGAGTGGACTAAGGGGTAAATGAGAATATGGAAGCAAAGGATCAACTGTAGCCAACTCTTTCCAGAGGTAAACTTTGCCCCCTCCCTACCTTCTTTTTAGTGAGATGAGAAAAACAGGAGATGGGCAAGAAGTTCACTGTGCTGATTTTGTTTTCCCTCCAGAATGATGTGATAGGTTTTGAGGATATACCCACATATCTTTAAAAGTTTTGTCTAACAGTAACCTCTAAGCACAGATCTGGGAAGCATGTGCAGTTGATACTTACTGCATTTGAATGTTTCTGTCAGCCAGATGTATAGCACTAGGAAGGCTGAGGTAGGAAGATCATGAGTTCAAGGCCAGCTTGGGCTGCATTGAAGACTCAGTCTCAAAAATAAGAAAGTTCTCAGTGTCAAAGTTGAAAATTTACAAGGTAAATGTTAAACGTATAGACTAATTTTAACTTGGTCTAAATTCAACAGGCAGCATTTTCCTTTCTCGTCTGTTTCTGTATCCTTTAATTCTCAAAAGAAAAAAAATACAACTCTTACCAGCAGAGGGCACTAGGTTCCTTCTGGTCGAAACTTTACCTGTCTGAATTGTGCAGGTATGGCTCAGCAGTTTCTTTTTTGTTTAGATGGCATGGAGGTGGATACCACACCAACAGTTGCTGGGCAGTTTGAGGATGCAGATGTTGATCACTGAAGACAGTTTACTGCTCTAAGGTGAGTAACTTTCTCTCGTCACTGGACATGAAAATCACGAACTGGTTATAGATGCTGGTAATCCCAGCTATTCAAGAGGCAGAAATTGGTAGGATCTCAGCTCAAGGCCAGCCAGGCAAAATGTTAGCAAGACCTCATCTCAGTAAGAAGCCAGATGTATTGGTACACATCTGTAATCAATCCCAGGTACATGGAAGCATAGGTAGGAGAATTGTGGTCCAAGGCCAGCCCCAGGCAAAAAGTGCGAGATCCTATCTGAAAATAACTAAGCAAAAAAGGTCTGGGGTCATGGTTTAAGTAGTACAGCACTGGCCTAGCAAGCACAAGGCCCTGAGTTCAAACCCTAGTATAGCCAAAAAAAAAGAGATACAGAAGTCTTAGCAGTTTGGAAAAATGCTGACCATCCCTGAAGTTATTGATGAAAATTACATTTTTTCCTGAAGAAATCAATCTGCAGATGTGGTGATACTCAATTTAATATCTGCTGTACACTTACCCCATCACAGGCACTGCACTAGGAATTGAGTGTAAACAGGAAAAAGAGAGCCAGACATGGTAATGCATACCTGTAATCCCAGCACTCAGGAGACTGAGACAGGAGGATCACAAATTCAAGGTTATTCTGAGTTACAAAATGAGATCCTGTCTCAAAAAGAAAGAAAAAGGACACAGTGAATTTATGAGATTAGCTTTCTTACTAGCCATTTGTTCAAAAACAGACCTCACTGTTGGCTCACATGGAGTAACAGAACCTGAGGTCGTGGCTCTTGAGTCACCTTTCTCACTTGCAATATTTGAACCCTTAACATGTTCATGATCTGCTGCTACCACTGCTTTTTAATTTAGGGAGGAAGTATAAGTAATTCCAAATTGAGTTTAAGCCATTAGTCATAATCTTGTATTGGTTCCCTCATGAAATCAGTTGGGAGACCAAGGTCCTGGTACCACAGTGTTCAAGGCTGATTTGCCAACTGTAACAAGTCCCTGTGTTATCATCCAGAGTCATGTTTTCCCAAGTTGGTTCCTGGCTGGTCTTCATGGCCAAGATACAAGCTCTCTGCCAGTTTGCTCCCCTGGGCATTCTTACTTGCTTTGCCTGAAGTTTGTCCCTGAGGAATTGCTATTTTGTTACTGTGGGAAGCAACTGTCCTCTGCCAGCTTGAGCACTTGAACTGTACCTTAGGTAACAGTGGAAGGTCATGTAGCTAAGCTCCTCATACAGAGCTAGGACTAGTGTTGGTAGTACTTCCTTTATTACGGTAACATTTTCACATTGTTGTTACTCCTCTTTCCTCCCTAAAACAACATTATCTTCTTGACTACTGGCTGTCTCCCAGTCCTTTGGCCACTGCTCTCCTGTCCTTTTACTTTATTAAAGCATCTGTCATAGCATGGCAAGTTGTGTGGATTTTGACTTGACTCAGCTACCACTGCCAGCCATCCAGTTGTTGAGTGCCCTCATTATTCCCTGCTGTGGTAAACCTTTTGACAGCTGGGTGTGTGGCTCAATGATAGAGCATTTGCCTAGCATGCTCGAAGCCCTGAGTTCAGTTTTAATGCCCAGCACCACAAAAAATATTCCTTTATTTTCTTCTGGTACAGAGTTTAGTATTGAACCTTAAGTAGTTGCTGTTTCCCCCTCTCCCAGTTAAAAGTCTTAAATCCTTTTACCCTATTCCACTTTATATCAGAAACCAGCCTTTCAAGTTCCAAACCTTCTAATTTGTTGCATTAGGAATACAATGTCACTGCTCCTATCAACCATGAATTGTGATGTTGGATCCCTGCTTTCTTCTCAGGTCGTGCTACAAGCACTATCAAAAAACCTCATAGAGGTTTGTGAATTGTATTTCTTCCCATAAATACCTGAATTATTTTCTCATTTGCTTGTGTCACTAATAGCTATAGAGTCTTAAAATCAGCGATTTCTCCTTGGCTGAAATCACACGTTCCTGTCACTGCACTCTGCTACTTTTCATTTTCAGCTCTTTCAGTTCCAGCTGTCACACTTCACTCGTGTACTATGTGGGAAGTCTTTCAGTACCAACTTTAAGTTATCTTTCCTTATTTCTCACCACATTCTTTATAGCATGTAGATTTTTTTCAGTTCAGTAGCTGTTTTATTGAAATTGAAAGACATTTTTGGATCATCTGACTTTCACTTATTTCTCCTTGAAAAATAGACTGCTCAGAGAACATTAACCACTCTGTTAGTAATGATCATGAGAAACTCTGTTGGTATGTCACTAACAGTTGCACAAATGGGATGTTACTGCAATCCCTGGCAAGAATTCTTAGGAGTCTTTGTAATAATGAAGTAACCATAAAAAATAGCCACAGATTTCCTAATGAGCCGATGGTTTGTTTTCTGTTCATTTTATGTTCTTTGCTCAGAGGCAAAGAAACATTTTATTCAAAAGTTTATTCATGTACATCTGGGTAATTGACCTGATTTCCAGACAATGTCTGTAAATTTTTATAATCATTTAAAATTATATGTACTTTTAAAGAATGAACCAAGGAATAATTAGAGTATTTGTGCAACCATCGCTAATTTCTAGATAATGGACCAAGAGATGGGTAAAGGGAAGGGCACATAAAGGGTGGACTCTGAACTCAGCCACACACTGACTGTGCCCTTGGGCAAAGCATGTAACTTATCTCATCATTTGACTCCACTGTAAGGTGGGGATGATATCTATCTGGCATAGTTGTTGTAAGGACCCAGATATAATATATCTAAGTCCCCTGGCACTCTTGACAAGGCATTCAATAAATAATGGTTATTATTAACTGTTAAAAACACTGTAAACCTTTTGTTTTTCAGATTCTGCTCATAACCATAGGAGAGAACTTGGTGCCTCTTCCACTTTGGAGTGAGGTTGATGAAAGGCTTTTTCCCTTCTCCAAAATTCACTTAAACCAGTTCTTTCAAGACAGACTATACCAAGTCAGCAAGCTGTCACCAGCAGAAAAAATTTAAGACCTTTATTAACAAAGGTGAATTAACTTAACCAAGAGGGTGTTTGTAGTGTATCATTTACCTGAAACTTTCTGTGTCTAGGTGTCCCCTGAAGGCCTCTAGTTCCTGCCTTCACTATGTGCACATCTGTCTGCTAGCAGGCCTCTGTGGTGAGGCACATGGAGCTTGGGGTATGGGTGGACTGTGGTGGGAAAGAGAGACTTAACGATGCCTCTCTGGGGCTTGAGAATCCTGACTCCTAAGAGAGAAGGGATCAGCCTCTGTCATGTTCCATAGGGACATGAGTCTTACTGATTTGGAGCCCCGATAAATGAATTCAGAGGAAATCCCAACCTCATATTAAAGTGCTAGCATCTCCTGCTGCCCTATTTCACCAGTCTGCTCTGTTATGGCCTCTTAGGTTATAGCCTTGAGTTTCCACCCTTTTAGGTTAGTTTTCTGTGACAGAATAAGTGAACTGCGATGAAGCCCTCAAAGTCTCCCAATGATAATTGTTTTGCCTTTGTAATAGCTTAACAAATAAATCTAGGTTTTCTATACTACTGTGGTCTCATTCTTGACTAAAATATTAATGAGAATTTAAACAAAAAAGTAATGCTGGCAAAAAATGAGAATTTGGGGTTTATTTTAGGTCATTTTTGAGAACATAAACATGAAATTAATGTGAAAATGTATAGTTAGAGCATCTGGCAAGGATTTAAAACATTTCTAGAAATTTCTGCTTTTCCTTGGGTCAGAAATAATTTCTTACATTTATCAACTCTCACTTTCTCATTTTCACAGGCACCTGAGCATTGATAAGGCTGCTTTGTAGTGACACACTTATACCTGAACTTTAGATGCATTCTGTGACCTTAAAAAGAATGTTGAACAAGCTATTTAGAGTCATCCCTTGGCTAATTGGTGGCTGAATTTAGTCTGCTGATCCTTTGAGCAGTTTCCAAAGAAAACAAAATTTTTTTTTTAATCAAACTTAGAAAATCTGATTCTGTTATAATAGACAATGGAAATGGAAAGTAAAATTTTCTGAGACTAGTGTGGCAGCCATTGTCCTGGGTTCTTCACAAACACTATGCCTTACGATATACTTGACTACCCTATGGGGTCCAGGTGCGTTTATATCCCACTCTATAGGTAGGAAGCTGAGTTAGAGAGAGTGACTTACATAAGGTCATATGGATATTGCAGTGTCGTTTTTAGCCCGTGCCCCAAGACACTGCACAGCCTTAGTACTTACTGGCCGAAAGGAAGCAAATTCTCCCCACTGCTACAGTTTTCAGTGTTAAAATTTCATGGAACAGCATAGGAGGTTCCCAAATTTCTCTGCTACCCAATCTGAACTACATTTATCTATCTATCTATCTATCTATCTATCTATCTATCTATCTATCTATCTATATTTTTATCCTAGAAGTTTGCCCATTCTTCACTAGTGGGGCAGGATTTTTCTCATGGGCCAATTTTAGAAATTCCATTTGAGTTCCTTTGGAAAGGGACAAATTTGTAATGTGACTTTTGGTGAAGTAGGGATACCCACCCTATTTCCAGTGTGTACTGCTGTGCCCAAACTATAGATGATGCAGTACAGAGAGACAGGAGACCATGCTTCTAGGTCTGGCTTGGCTGACACAGCATTTAACCTTTCTTGGGCCTGTTTACTCATCTGTAAAATCAGGGAATTAGACTGACTTTTTTTGGGGGAATACTGGAGTTTGAACTCAGGGCCTTGTGCTTGCTAGGCAAACACTCTGCCACTTGAGACAGGGCTTTTGCTTTTAGATAATTTTTCAGATAAGGTCTCACATTTTGCCTGGACCAGCCTCGACTGCATTCCTCCTACCTGTGACTCCCACACAACTGGGCTGACAGACGTGCATCACCACACCCAGCTTGAAATGGAGTGTTGATAACTTTTTTTGCCCAGGCCAGCCTGATAACTGAGATCCTCCTGATCTCCACCTTGTGAGAAGATAGGATTTACAGGCAGAGCCACCATGCCCAGCCTAGTAAATGGCTCTTAAAGATTTAACTGTTAACATTTTGTAATGCTAGACAGCTGCATCCATGGCTTTGGGGGGGGGAAAGACTATTAAAAATGAGATTCATAATTATCAGCAAACCAACATGTGTTGATTCTATTGAGCTTAATTTTAGTGTTGCTGGAATTGTTTTACTTGCATGGTCTTAATGTAGAAAAATTTGAAAGACATAAACATTCCTTCCCTCCCCCAAATGTGAGCCATCTAAAATATCCTTAAAAGGATTAGTGGTTCTGTTTTAGATTCTGTCATTTAAAAATTATATTGATTATAATGTAGTCCCCATGGATATCCTTCTCGGGGTGCGTCAGATATCTATACTGTACAGATAAAACTTGTTGAAATCCTTTTGGGTTATATATACAGTTTGTGATTCTGTTAGGATCTTCCTCAGTGTTGGTAAAGGTGAGCGATTATGCACAGCTGATCATGATGTATAGTCCTTTTAGCAGGTAGGTGTGACTAGTGATTATTCACAGATACTATTTAGAATTTGATTTATATACTGGACTTCAGTAGGCTCCCTACTATCTAGCTAATTCTCATACAAATCCTTTTTTAAGTATTTCTGGTATGCATGAATCAACATCTGGTATCCATCTTCTGCAGTTAGTAGGTAATAATTAAACTCCAAGAATAGAATTATTGCCATCTCTTTATGGAAGGAGCTAGAACATATTCACACTAACATCTTACTCTGTTCATAAATATGTAAATAAAACCAGAATATAATTGGGAGGCATCCCTAATTTCAAATAAGATGTCAGAAAAATTTCTGAGGAGCAGACCTGGCTAGAACTTTTGGTTTTAACTTAACTTTTAAAGACAGAAAATAACTGGGTGTGGTGGTACACACCTATAATCCCAGCACTTGGGAGGCTGAGGCAGGAGGATCAGAAATTTGAGGGCAGCCTAGGCTACACAGAGAGAGACAGAGTTAAAAGATATATTACCTGGAGGTAAGAAGGCTAAGTCCAGGAATATTCAGGCTAACGAATACTCAGGATTTTAAAATACTATTTTAGAGATTATATGAATCACTAATACACATGAAGGGCTTAGAACAATAGTGCCTACAAAATAGCTCACTAGGTACTCATTAATGCCAGTAGTAACTTTTTAAAAAAAGAAGCAGTAACTTTTACCTCATCACACATGATAAGTCTATTTTTCTTCTCGGTACTGGGACCGAGAACTGGTCCTCGGTACTGGGTACGTGAACTCTGCCTCACGTTTGCTACAGGCGCTCTACCACTTGACCCATGCCCCCTGCACTTAACCCACCATTTAGAATACATCTGAGAAGCTTGAAATTGAAAACTGGACTCAGTGCCAGCATGGTGGTACATTTCTGTAATCCCAGTAGTTGGGAGACTAAGGCAGGATGCTCATGAGTTTGAGGACAGCCTGGGCTACATACGAGACCCTATCAAAAATCAAAACAATCACCAAAAAAACTCAGCAATTAAAATAGACATGAAGTCTGCATGTTTTTCATAAGACCCACAGGTCTTCACTGCAAGTTTCTACTCCGCCCTACACACAGGTCTAATGCACCGGAGTGTGTAATTTCTAGGTATGCCACAGGTAAGTAAAGGAGAAGGTGGGGAGTGGTTGCATCAGATCCATCAGAAGCAGCAATAAATAGCTGACAGCATTATGAAGAGAAAAATGCATGACCTCTTCCTGCAATATAGCCTGCGTGTAGCATGCAGTGTGAATAGTGGCGGTACTGAATATGGAAGGACACAGCACCTTTTTCAGTCATGACCCTGTGTCTAGGTATAAATCAATCCAGATCTGACTAGCTTAAGGAGAAAACAGTCATTCGAAGGCTGTTAAGACTGACTTTGTCCCCATGTCTGACAGTCACCACCCTCAAGATTCAAAGCTGTGGGTGGCACTGTGCCTTAGTTGCAAGGGGCAGAAGGAGCATCTGGCCTTTGCTTCTGTAGTGGAGGGGCACTGCACCATCCACATTCTTAGTGGTGAAGCAGAATACCCTAAAAGGAAAGGGTGCTTAGATGCTGGCTTGTAAAAAATGCAGTTACCTGCAACCTCAAAGTTAAGAGAAAAAAGGAAGAAAGCAAAAACAAGCTGAGATGGTGTCCTGCTGCATGGGTGCAGGCAAATAAGGAGACAACTGCATTTAATCAAGTTGTGCTAAGTCCTGTGAGTATGAAGAGATAGAGGAGAAGGGAGTTGCGGCGTAGGCAAGCATGTTTGTGACGACAGCTGGCCGAGTTATTTAAGGTGCTTAAGAAGGCACTTGAGAGGAATGAAAATGGGAAAAGGAACCAGCGGACAAAGCTCCCTATGGGTCAGAGAATCATGGAGATGGGGTGCTACAGTGAGCGAGCTGAAGGGTTACAGCTGGAGAGCGGGGCCTGTGTGAGCTCTTAGATTTGATTACTGGTAATGACAAGCTGGTAGCTAAATTGCGACTCGGGCAGAATAGAAGACAAGATTATCAGATGAGTGTGGTGGTGCATATCTTAGCCACTTGGAAGGATCTTGAGTTCAGGGCCAGCCCAGGCAAACAGCATGTGCAATATCCTGGGTTCAATTCAATTGCTATGGGGGGAAGGGTGGTGAGAACACAAGTTTATAAGAGGAGAGACAGCCATTGAACTCAGGCCAAGACACTGGAAGGATCAGCTTTGTGATATTAAGTAGAACTGGAGTAGTGTTGGAGAAAATGAACGTGAGACAGGAAGTAAGATCTTCAAGGAAAGGGACTTGAGGGCACTCTACAGTAGCCAACTGCAACAGGCGTCCAGGTAGCTGAGGATCCGTTTTTAACAGAACAGGCAGAGGAGAGGGGTGGGAAACAGCCATGAGGACAAGAGTAGTGGGAGAGAAAAGGCCCAACACCAGAGGGTTGCAGGAGCAGTGTCATCAGGCAGCACAAATGCGGTCTGACAGGTGGAGTTCAGAGGCTGGGCATTTTCACAAATTACCCATTTTCCTTAAGGCATGGAGTCCTCATGCTAGTAACAAGACTAAAAAGAACTATTTGTAGTGCTGCTATAGTTTGTAAGTTAAAGACAGAAAACCCATGACCAGACTGGCTACACTATTACACATAACAACAAGCTGCCCCTGTTCAGTCTGTGGTGTAAATAGAGCCTGTCTACAAGTTGGTCACCGCCAGCTTAAGTTACCTGGCAACTTGCCGACTGCTTGTTAATTGATTATGTCTCACAGATCATATTTCATCCCGTGTCTGGTTTTACTTTTAGTTTTAATCTGATAACAGACTTGCCTTTGAAGAGAAACAATATTTTATGGCCTGAACACTTATTAAAAATTAGACCTCATACAATAGAACAAGAAAACAGAGAAAAGCTGAAGCTTCTTTAAATCTTATAAAATACTAATGAATTCCTAAATTTAATAATCTAACATGTAATTTTTTCCTCAGAACCTTCATTTCCTCAAGTTAAAATGATGACTGAGAATTTGGGGGTTGATGTAGAATCTGAACATAGTATTTGGATCTAAATGACCTGGGGCAGAGAGGCAAATTGCAGACCCCTCTAGGCTTAGCTTCGTTATCTGTAAAATGGAGAACAAAAAATACACGGTCAGGGCTGGAGGAGTGGCTCAAGTGGTAGAGCGCCTGCCTAGCAAGACAGAGGCCCTGAGTTCAAACACCAGTACTACCAAAAAAGGAAAAAAAATTATATGCATTCTAGCCACTTCCTAAGGTAACTGTTAGGCACAAATGAGAATGTGAAAACTTGACTTCCTCC